AAACTCAAGTTTTGGTGGACTCTTTTGCTTAGTTCTTTCCTGTTTTGGACACGCTGAGGAAACGGAAGAGGGACCTCATTGAGCAAGAGGATTCGGATGTTGGATCCGAAGACCTGGATGGGGAGTTGGACGTTGGTTCGTGTAGCTTCGAGCATGCATCATATGTTGAAACCGCAGGCCCTACAAAGTTCTTTAATTGATAGTAATGCATTGTAATGCTGAACACTTTTGATTTTAAAGGACGGGAAAACTCTACTTCTTCATGTCTAAGTGTATCAGGTGCTAGAGGGATGTTCAGATTTTATTGAGTACTGCAGTGCAGGGTTTCTTTTCCCTTTGGGGGGGAAGACTGTCTATGTTCTCGTAGGTGAGCAACAACGCAATGAAGCAGCTGATGCACATGCAGCCGCTGGAAAGATGCTCAAGAAGATCACGTTTCCTGAGATGGATGATGATGCCTTGCCATCCACTTACTGCATTAAGGTTTTGGGCTGCCTAGGCAAATGGTCGGCTAAAATGTATGACTTGGCAGAGCAGCTCAAATCCAACTGCGCTTCCCTTGCTGTGTGTTCCCAGTTGCACGCCCAAATTAGACTCCATGAGGCCCATGGTGCTCGGAATCTTGCTGTATGGGTTTTCATGAAAGACACCGTTTCCACTTGCCTCCACCGTCCTGTATCCATCTGAGGCTTGTCGAGAAGGCCAAAACCTGTGCAAAGGAGTTGGATAATCTCCAGGAGACGGTTAGCGAATTGAACTCGCAGGGTATCTTGAGTGGATACACGGCACAGCATCATGTTCGCAAATAACTAGAAATCGAACGAGTGACCTAGTAGCTCACAATGTTGCATGTTTTTACAAGGCACCAGCGAAGCCTGAAAACGCACTTTGGAACTTCGAAGCAAAAGCCACTTGACATACAAGATTAGATGATTGGATTTGAGCCAGTATGAAAACTCTGTTACAACAAGTACCTCAGAACCCGCAAGGAAGGAAAACACAATTCTTGGTCTCGTTCTCTAGATTGGAGGCTTTCTGAAAATATTGCTGCTTGAAAGCTATTCCACGCTTGTCCCCGTGGAAGTACCTGCCTAAGGGCATCGGAAGCCCTGAGTCTACTCAGCCGTGCTCAGCCTGAGCCTTATCAAAGCAATGCCCGTATGTTTTAAACATCCACTAACTCTCTGCTTGAGGCCTCTCCTGAACCACATGCGGACCAGAAACAAGACGAAGTCTGCTGAGCCGGTATCCACGCCTGTGAAGACGCCTTAGATCTTCTCAGCGCTAGTGGGATGTCTTAGATCATCTTGTGGGATTAGTGTATCGTCTTTTTTGACACGGTACAGCTGCATGGGGCAAAATGCTCTTTTGAACATGGATAGCTTTTTTAGGAGCTTCCGTGATGTCATGGGGTGAATCATAGATGTCGAGTGAACTCGGCTTAGCTATGGGAAGTTCAAGAAAAGGAAACAACTCTTTGCATGTGCAGGTGCAATGGTTGACTGCGGTTGACTCATTGTGCATGTGTGGCAAACTGAATGCGCACATTGTTGGCAGTGCAACCATGTCATATGAGTTGAGCAGGCTTCTTGTTGCATGTTCTTTTACATCGATAGATGGGCTTTTTGTTCGCTAGGCCCACCACGACCTGGTCCAGTACTTCAACATACAATAAGTTGTGTCGCTGATGGCGTTCCTTGGCCATATTCTTTCATGGGTGTATATGCATCACATGTTCACCATGAGCATTATAACCCACACCCACTTGACGGTGTTCCCGTTCAGGCTCCTGCCAAAGTTGTTGCTGAGAAAAGCAACGCTATGGCTGAAGAGTTTGGGCCTGGCTTTGCACAGAGATCGCTGGGAACGCGGGGCAGGAGCTTTAAGAATGCCTCGCGGCAGTACAAGCTGTTGGTCAAAAAGTTTAACCTGAAACTCAAAGTTCCTATCTCCTGGAAAGTTCATGAGGAAGCAGCAAAAACCAGTAGACTACCCTTACTGAAAGTGAGCGACATGGTGAAAACCCTTCTAGCAGATTACCCTTGGGTTTTGCTTGGCGGTTGCAGCATTGAAAAATCTCCGGAACTTCTCCTAGAGTTTTGGCAATCGTACAAAAAGCAACATCCTGAGCACGCCGTCTTCGAGTACGATTTGGAGAGATTATCCAAAACAATCCCCATCACCTTTCACGGAGATGGAGGTAGGACGCAGAAAAAGGAACCGATCGAAGTGTGTTCATTTCAGCCGGTGCTTGGCCTTGAGACGTCCAACTCCTCATTGCTCCATTGCCAGTGTTCTACCTCAGAAAGCTTTGGCGGTGGATGTTTGGCAAACTCGGATGCACAACGGGTAAACTCAAAACAGAACTCGTACCTTCACCATTTCCTATGCTTTGCCTATCCATCAAAAAGGCACAGGAACATGCCTGGTTTGCTTCGCCAAATGATTGAGGAGGTCATGACGGACTGTGCGTCAGCTTGTCGTGAAGGAGTTGTCATGGCCAATGGCCAGAAGTTTTTTCTGGCCGTACTTGGCATTAAAGCGGACATGGAGTGGGCTGCGAAAATTGGTTGTCTTGATCGTTCATACCAGAATGTTGGACACAAGAACAATTTGCCCTGTTGTCATGAGTGCCTGGCTGGAGGAGACAATTTTGCCTTTGAAGATTGCAATCGTGGGGCTGCGTGGGAAAACACAAGATTTCAATCTTTGCCGTGGTCAACGGCTCCTCCATGGCAGAGTGTGCCATTTGATGACACACGAAAGCCATTGTTCTTGCGCCGTGACAACTTTCACATCTTCAGGCTTGGAGTTGCTCGCAACTACTTAGCATCCTGCATTTTGTTGATGGGCTCAATGGGGCTCTTCGATGAAGGTGTTGCTGGTGAGAGCTGCAGTGTGGGAGCCCGATTGGAAAGAGCATACGGTAGCCTACGGCTGTTCTGCCAGGTCCAGAAGCTAGGTCTTCGCTTGCGTGGGTTTACAATTCAGAACTTTCATCAGGGGCCCAACCAGGCTTTCCCATATGTGGGATCCAAAGGGTCAGACACAATCATTATCATGAAGTGGCTGCTCTTCTTTGCTCGGCTACAGCTGGAGGTGCAATCTTCTTTGACCCCAAAAGATCGAGAGGTACTTGTTTGGGTCAGTGCTGGTTCAAGGGCAGGGCTCACTTGGGGGCAGGGCCTGCACGGGCACGGACTGTGGTTGAAGCAGGGTTGCGTGCGCCACCTCAGGCAAGCAAATCACAGGTTTTGTTCCAGCTATTGCTTTCTTGCACAACACTGCCTGGAGGGTGGCGTGAGGTTGTTCGGGATGGTCCCAAAATTCCATGCTCTTTGTCATTTCAGACTTGAGTTCGATGATTCAATTGCAGCGAAGTTGGACAGAACATTGAACCCAGCATGCTTCGACAATGCGTGCTCAGAGGACTTCATCGGAAAGATAGCAAAGCAATCTCGAAGGGTTTCGTACAAATGTATCGAAACTGCACTGCTCCTTGCCTACTGTGTCAAAGCGAAGTTTGTCAACGACAACTTCAGCAAGAATCGTGCTCCCTAGAAAAATCTGAGGTCTCGGCATTGGCACTGGGCGGGGAAGGGCGCACGGTCGGCACTGTCGATGGGTGATGTGAGTGTTAAAAACCAAAATCCATGTGTTCAATCGGGATGCGTCCAAATGAAGGTGTTCAACCAGAATGTTTCCAAAAGGGTATTCAAACATGATGTCACGAATGTTGGCGGCAGAAATCCCAGTTGAAGTCTGAAATTTGATTTAGCGGTTGTTTCACCTATCCCAAAAGGCAGCGGCAGAAATAATGCACACCACGAGGGTACAGGTATATACATACAAAGGAGCTTCTATTTACAAGTGGGTGTCTTCCAAATAGGAACTGGGTGTCAGAATAGCAAGGTACCAAAAGTATACATAGACGTTCCTGTATATATATATATATAAAATAGCAATAGAGCGTATATGTCGACGTATGCGTGACGTTTTTCGCTCGTCTCAATCAATCACGGACACGGATTTGGGGTTGCTTTTGATTTGGGGCGCAGGCGGTGAGTTTCGCTACAGGATGAGTTTCACTCGGTGCCGCAAATCTTCTCCGTGCACTGTTTTTGTTGTCAGACCATCCATGTATAAATCATGGAACATTTACCTACATTCACCCTTAAAACAAGTCACTTCAAAAAAAACAAAAACAACAACATCACTACTACTAACTACATTCTTTCCCAACAAGTCACTTCAATGTAGGCAAATCTACCAGTCCGATGGATTCTTCGGGGTTTGAATCAGCTAGATGGGCGGCCAGAGCCCACAGGGACTTCCAGTGTCACCCCCGAGGTCGACAAGACAAACACCCGGAAGAATGAAGGGGCACCCAGTATGGTCTGCAGAAGGTATACCCTTCCAGGTGTGTAGGGGTCAAGAATTCAGTCCATGATGTCCATGGTGGATGGGTTCAAGTTCTGTGTGTTTCCATGTGTTTTCGCCATGAGTTCGTCACGATGTGACCCGCAAGACATTTGAGGGGTAGACCCCGGGTCGACCGAAGATCGGGTAGAAGCCAAGCAGCAAAAGAAAGAATCCATTCCCCAATAATCCATGCGACTGGAATATTGAACTACCTACATAAGATCGACCCAGCTGAAGCGCTTCTCAAAACGACCTATCGGAACATCGTCCAAGGGACGGGATGTTTCACTTGGTGGGTTTCGTCCACTTGTAGCACCGCACCCGGGACCTTCCTCCCGTGGACCCGTGATGTGTCGCCCATTTTTTTCGCCCTGACTGAGGGTCGACCGGACCGTGTGTCTTCAACCACCCAAACCGGCCAAACAAGCAAAGACTTGTTCTGGCGGCAGTCCACAAAGATGGAATGAAATTCTTCATTTCCCCAGACACTCCATAATAATGCATGTATTAATATTATTAATGGATATGTGCCTGACCTTTGACCCTCCTGTCGGCCGGTCGTCGTGTCGCAAGCCGAGGCTTCGCCGGACCCAGCAGCCGGCGCTTCCGGCCCAGCCAATCGACCCGGGAGACTTTGGGACGCAGCGAGACCCGGGCCAGTCGACCTCTGCTGTTCAGCAGCGTGGCGACTGGTCGGGTCTAGATCCATTTTGCGGATGGGGAGTGCAGGTTTAGTGGGGAGTGCAACCATCCAGGATAAGGCTGTGAAGAAGGGGCTTTGTTGGCACAAATGGCTGATTTAAGTGGGGATTCGAACCATCCAGTATAAGGCTTTAGAGCCATCAGCAAGGGGCGGTGTGGGTGCATTGAACCGCACATCCGTGCATCCAGTATAAGTTGTTTCATGTGTTTTTTTCTAGACGCTCCATGGGACTGGAATATTGACCTATTGACCCCTTTTGAACCACCCTACTGTAGGTCAATATGACCAGTCGAATGGAGCTTTTGACCGTGGCGTTGCTATGGTTTTCGCGTCGAAGTAACCGCCAAAGTCGCAATCGGATCGGGTGCTTCGAAGTAACCGCTTCTGCGTTTTGCGCCCCAGCGGTCGACCTGATCGGTCAAGATGGACAAGTCCTGTTTGGATGATGATTCTTTAACTGACTGGCCTTTTAAACTTGATCTATTGATAAAAGATGATAAAAAAAAATATATTCTATTAAATCTATTGACAGTATTATAGCTGAATGGTTGTTTAATAAGTTTGAACCCTATTGACAAATACACGTGTTGTATTGATAGTATTTAGTTAATTTTAATAGTTCATCATTGATCATAATTATATTTTTGGGGGGTGGGAAATGGATGAAAATTGGGTTTATACAGTAGTTGGCCCGCTCTCTTTCTCAACATGCACTCTATTGTTGCTGGGATATGTTTAGGTTTACAATTGACTCGTAGTTCATCATTGATGTTAAAATAGTTAAGTTGTTTTCTTACGTCAACTGTAGATGGACTACTTGTAGGTGCCACCTTCTTCTCAGTCTGGTGTTTGTTGATGATGAATCCAGGATCATGAAGGTTACTGAAGGAGACCGAAGGAACATTCGAAGGTATTCCCGAGATGCCGAGTGCCAAACTAGCACGTTTCAGTGGTGGGTGGTACTTTGTCACATGTTTCCTCTTAGAACTGTCCCAGGACATGCCAGGACTCACAGGTTTGTTTAGGCAACCACTTCCAAAGAGGACAAACCGTACACTGGTGTTAAAGTCGTGTGGTTCCTTATTCCTTAACTAGTAACTGGGATCCCCTTGGTCGCTGTAGTATAGAAAGGCCCCGAACAGATGCTGAGCAGAAACCGCAGAAACCGCCGATTCTCGGGGAGCCAGCTGGCATGTAAACCAGCCTCTCTATGAGAATGGTCATTGGTAGGATGATCCCGTCCAAATGAGATGAGAAGCTCGTTCCAAAACATGCCTGGTGGATTGGACGATCCTTTCGTTTCGAAAGCCTTGTTTCACCTGTCCACCAGCGCTCGGTGTCGCTGCGCCCACCGAGGAGCCTGGCTTTGGCGGTGCAGCACCGTGAGCAGCGCCTGCGGACGGCCGGTGTCGAAGAGAGCCGCCCACGGATGCGGAGCGCTTACGAGGCCGAAGAAGCGCTTCACGTGGGCGGAAGCGCGGCCGCGGTCGGGGGGTTGATGCAGGGGGGGTTCCACACGGCCTGCATTTTCTGAGCAGCGACAGTAGCCGAGTTTTTTGGGCGGATGGGTGGAGAGGTGTGGCGAACCCCGATTCCTAGGTGAATCCCCTCATCTATAGTGAGCCTGCATTCCATTTCCTGCGTCGACCGCCAATGCGTTGTAGACACTGAAGGCTGCTTCTACGATCGGTTCTAGGAGCGTTCGCTTTCCGTCCGACTGAAACCAAATGGATGGAGCTGGTTTGGTGGTGTAAATGGTAAAGCAATGGCGGGCCAGGAATCCTGGATATGACAGCACAGTACATGCAAAATGGCGACTCATTCAGAGGCTCAAAGAGGTTGAATCGAGGATGGATAAAGGTGTTGGGTTCAAGGATTCCTATAGGCTTACATATATGCAAAATCGACGGTCATGATGCATCATGCCATACATGTACTACTATAGTTGGAACATAGATCTACCTGGACCGTCCAAAGTACCCTAGAAAATTGGACATGTGACATGGTACCTGTATCCATTTTCGCAAGGTGAACCATCCATGGTACGTCTTTCCCACGTTCGTTCGCGTCTCAGTTCAGGTCTCCAAAGCCTCTCTAAAGGGCTCCTTTCGACTACCGAATCAGCCCATCTCACTGGATCTGCCAGGATGTTCCTCCGGCGGACGAGCGAGACGCTGGCGAGACAGAGATGATGGTTGGAGGTGGGCGAACATGGTCCAAAGACGTAAAAACGACGCCAAACAGATTCCCAAGGCTAAGAAAAAACACATGTTGCTAAGCATTGACTGTTGGCGTCGTATTTTGTTTGTTCACCGCCGCGAGGGCATGTTGAAGTCCATGAGTTCTTAGCTGCCAGTGCAGTTTGCAACCGTTTTGTTTTGAATTATCAAAGCTGTACAAGCTGCCAGTTGCAACAGTGTTGTTCAGTTTGGTCCCACTGTCGGAGTCACTGGGGGAGTCATATAAACCATGGTTAAAGCCTATATAGGCCAACGGTGAATGACTGGGGTAGTGAAGTAAGTTGCCACCGGGTATTGGTCGGAATCGTTTCCATGGTTCAGAAATAGGACGTGACCCAATCCCAACCATCCATGATATATATATATATATACCTACATTGACCGTTAAGACATCTTAAAACCATCCCAAAGCAAGTAAACATTCCAGTCCCATGGATGGTTTTCTTGGTTGGAACAGATTCAACTGATTCTAACAAATGTGTTTCCATGGTTTCAGAAGTAGGACGTGATCCGAAGAAACAGCCCGTTTGCCACAGGTAATGTCTTCCGTGTCCGCCGCCTACAGGAAGGCATGGGCATCTCATTTCTCACATGGTCAAGGGGCTTCCATTCGTGACCTGTGGCGACCGGAGAGTGGTCAATGAAACGTGGTTTTGGTTGCTGAAGACCGAAGAAGACCTCCATGGTCGACGTAAGTACGTTCGTACCTCACAAGGGACCCCCCAGATCTACCTGTTTTTTGGGGGACACGGGCCGTGTCCCATGTTCTGGGGTAAGAACAGTCTGTCGGGTTCCAGGTAGTTTCATGCTTGGTGAAGACCCCGAAGACCTCCATGTACACCACCCAGACTACACTACAGCACTGCTGAGCTGGACGAAGGATGCTCGGGCGCAGGTGCTGTCGTCCCTGCCAGTGGTGTGTGTTGCCCAAATCCCTATCCAGGTACAGTACCTTCTCAGAAGGTACTTGGACCTTCCAAACCTACATATAATAGTGTCTCCAATCACCTTCTGACCTAGCAGTTCCAAAGCTTTGGACCCTGCAAAAGTGAGTGGATGAATGCTGCATGAAGCATCTCAACATGGAACTGCTGGTCTGCCTGACTTTGCTTATTTTCGTGATTTGTGTGTTTTCACTAACTGGGTACATCCCGTGGTATGGGGATTATTATGGTATGGGATTATTTGTTTTACTTTTTTCAGGTTCCTTGACAAGTCCAAGTCTGTCTGTGTTTTTGTTGATTTTGTTCCGCAGAGTTTCATTCATTTCGAGTCGGTCGAACTATATAAAACTTCGCATGGGTATGACGGTATGCCTCAAAGTAGCGCCCCATCGATGCTTTAGCTAGATGTGGAATCAAGATCGGAAAGGGCAAGATGCCCATGAACCATTCATAAGCCATTTCCATCAAGCCCCTATGCTGCCAGGTTGCAAGTATCTACTCAGAAGGTATGACAGGATCCCAGTCCCAGTCGACCGAAAATGGATGGGCCTCCACTGGCAGCCCTCCACTCGCTTCGACTCATGTCCCACGTGGCCGCCCACCGGAGGCGATGCGGTGCCCCAGCACGAGAACGAGTCCGGAGCGCCTCCCTCGCTGCAGTCCATGTTGGCCTTCATCGACGCGGAGTCGGCCGTGCCTCGACCTCGGCCTCGCCGGGAAAAAGGGACGGTTCGAAGTTCGAGGTGTTGCTGACAGCAGGTGGCTGATGGGTTCTGGCGAGACCAAGAGGAACTCGGAAAAGAGGGGGGGGCACCCACGAGACTCCCTCAAGATTGGATCTTTCACGGCTTCAATAAGATCAGTTTGGTCCGAGACTTCTCCCAAAATCTGAAGATCAATCGGTCAATGCCCATCCTGGCGTGATGGTTTCGGGATTTGCTCGCTTTTGCGCGGTGGACGAGTCTACGGCATGATCAATGATGATATTTCAACTTCCTCCAATCCCCTACCATCCCCGGCCCCACCCCTTTTGGCATTTTTGTTGCTAGGCAATGCTCTCAGGTTAAGTCTGAGAGGACCCTGAAGGTTTCTCTACAGGTGTCATGTTCAGAACTTTTTGCCAGAATGTGACATGGCAAGCCATGATTTGCGCCCCAACAATCCATGTATGATTATATCCATATAGTTACATTGAATCTTGAAGATTCTCAAAATCACCCCAATGTAGGTGAATATGCCAATCCCAGGATTGTTTCTGGCTTCATGTTTGGCGCCTTTTGGACTAGCTCGTAAGACCAAACTTTGCCCTCATTCGTGCCAGGCTGTTTCAAACCACCAACCAGAGCAGGGGATCTTCCCCTATTTTAAGACACCCATATGGTCGCTTCAACGTTTCATATCCCCATTTCGATCTCCACGACTTCGCTCGACTCTAGGCAGATGGAGCAGATGAGCCGCTTGTACTGGGATAGAAAGGTCACGAGGTTTGCTTTTGGGACTTTGAGGGTGAGTTTTGTATAGCCCAGCTGATTGAATAAGTACTCTATTGACTCTATACAATATATATATACACACCTATTGCCTATTGGGCCTATGGGTGAAATCTCTTTTGCAGGGAGTATGTTTCCATTTCTGCATGCTTCTTTTAGATCAGGAAGATTTGTGGTTTACAACGTTTACAAGTGCTGGAAGGGTTCGACAGCGAGGGTCAAAAACACCTTTATAAGACTCTGGCAATGTCGTGCTGTTCCAGTGCAAGCGGTGCGAGGGGTGCCAGTGCATAGGGGCGTTCTTTGCCAAGATGTTTTGCTGCATTGCTGATAACCCCCCCCTTGCAGACTAACATAGACCGTGAACATGGACTCCTGCAAGACGATTCTCATGATTTGTCATGTACCACCCGGTGGTTTTCAGGGCCCAGGTGGTCCTTTGGAGGGTGGGATGTAAGTGAGATCGTGTTGAAACCAGAAAAGGGTGAGAGGCCCGGCGACCCCAAGATCCGGTTAGACGGTCATGGGCCAACGTGAATGGCCCAGGCCCTTAAAGGATGACCATGGCCCTTCAAATACCAAGCAGGTGGTGGAACTCGACTGAAATGATGATTTCATGGTATGGCAACTAACTCCTTGACATGGTTTAAATGGTGCTGTTTCTTTGCACCCAACACATGGACGTCGAACAGCACACCGCGTAGGCGCGCGCAACCCACTTCCTGTGGGCGCGGACGTGCGGACTTGGCTTTCCGGACTTGGCTTGAAAACGACCCATCAAGGAGCTGTATCAGCGTCATCCGTGATGTACGTTTCACACACACAACTTCAAACGAAGTAGTTAAATATGCGAGTCAAAGCAAGAGCACTGATCACTGATCACTGTAACAAGCTCTTCAAAGGACGCAATATGACGAGGACTCGTCAAACCATATCAAGCTAGTCAGGAGGTGCACAAAGATGCTTTGAGAGGGACGGAGAAAAAAAGCAACTGAACCTTACCCAGTCAGTGGATAACCTTCCCCCACCTATTTAAGGGGAATTGGTTAAACTGGTTCCCCCACTTATCAAGAACAGGTGGGACCAAAAAAAGATGCATCAGCAGCTTCACCACCTCAGTGTTGCACTCCTGGAACCCTGGCAGGTCTCACCGTCACGAAGGACGGGCAGGGCGGCCGCGCGGGTCAGGTGGGTCGATGTATCCGCTTCCAGGTGTGCCAAGCTTCATCCGAGTCAGCCTGGGATTGCGGATGACCTGTTTGTCGCTTCAGGTTTTTGGTTGAACACCTGGAGGGCATTGGTTAGCCCAGCTCGTTCGGCATCCGAAGAGCGCCCGACTCATTGGGGCCTCCGACAGACAGACCCACTGTGTGAAAGGTTCTGAAAGAAGGCGCCCTCTGAGGATGTTGAGACTGAGAGTGAACCAAACCAGAGTGGTGCCGTGAGTTCCTTGGAATCTTCAAGTCATTTGACTGGAAAGCTTGCTTTGCTTGCCAGATCCTGGGTCCAGGGCCCATGGGAAACAGGACCAATCCATGGACCCTCACACGACCCGGATCTCGCGTTGGCTTGATGCTCAACCTTCGGGATGACCAGAGTCAGAGTGATTCATGGACCATCCAACCAGTCTCCTGGATGGCCTTAGGCCTAACAGCCGCCTAACAGGTCTCATTTGGGTGAGCGAAGCCGCCGGAGATTGTGACCCATGGAATCCACCCACCAGAAGATCCCAGCACCGCCCATGAAGTGGGTGGTTTCTAGACCCCCTGACACCTGTCGTTATGGTGGTTTCTTGTCCCAATCACCATGCGTTTCACGGGTGCTGCTGGTCCATTTGGCCTGAAAAGACTTCTCTCCGGTGCGAAGGGAATGAAACCCCGGGACGGGGTGTTCAATGGAAGGGAGTGAACCTTGAACCTGCGCGGCCCGCCCCGAGCGCGGCCTTTACTTCTATATATTCTCCCTTTAAGCGGCCTGGAGAGCCATGGCCACCGGGGTGTTGTGACACTGAGGCTATTGGAGCCGACTCTGAAGTCAGCCCCAACAAGGGGGGCAACATGGTGCGATCTGATCTGATCGGCCTTATCATCCCCTCCAGCTCACTTTTTTGTGGCAATGATGCAGCATTCCTGATCTTCTTGACATAGAGGCTGGTTGGAAGTCTTCCAACTTGCTCCTCCCCTACAGAGGACCACATGGGTCGAAACCAGGGGTCCATTCTCAGGGTCCACAGGATCATCTACGCTGGGCGGGTACCCTCTGCCCCACTTCCAGCTTTGCGCAGCAACTTCACCGACTCTGCCGGAATAGGTTACCCAGAAGTAGCTCCGGCGACAGAGGCAGGGGAGTCAGCCTGCTGCTTATCCTGCCTGGACTTGAAGATTGAAAGGTTGCCTGTACACGTGAGGATCAGCATGGTTCTTCCCCAAACAGCTCGTCGTTTGAGTTCTCTCTTAGGAAAAGTATCCAGATGATTCCAGCTGAAGCTGTTTGGTACAATTGGGAAGCTACGGATTTTTAGCAGAGAAAGGATGAGCATAGAGTGAGACGTGAGTTTTTTGCAGAGCAATGCGGAGTGAGTGGGTTCTTTGCGGCACGGGAACACGTTTGGAAGCAAATTTTAAATAGTTAGACAATATTAGACACAATCATGATTGACGTCAGCACTTGCTTTTGTACATCCACTAACAGCGCAAACAGGTGTTTTCAGTGACTCAAGGCTCCCCCAGCCAAACCTCTGGCTCTGCTAGCAGCCCAACGTCCACGCTTCCACGCCCAACGGATGGCCATTCTGCTGGTTTTGGAAGCTCGCTCGCTCCGCATGGTGTCTTCCAATCCCAGACGAATACATGGTGTATGGATGGAATAGCACGAATCCGTTACCTCATAGTTACCTGCACGGATGGGTCAGCAATGGGGTGTTCATGTATGTGTATGTATGTAGCTCTTCCAGTCCGATGGGAATGCTCTTCCCCAACTCGGGCGCCTCTTGGGGTGTCTTTCTTCGAAGAAAGCTCCGCACCCAAAGACAAGAGGGAGCGAACGAGCTCTCTGGGCCGCGCTGTACACTCTAATGTGGAAGTGGAACATGGCCCCCACAGGAAGAGGACTTCACTTCGGCGGTTGTCCACTTCCATGTGAGTCAGAGTGTAAGTCAATAATCTTCTATTCTAGGATTCGTTTAGTCTTAGATTCAGTCTTTGATCCTCACGCATTCGAGTTCTCGGCCGAAGAGAGACTCATGTTGGGGGAATTGATTGCGGTGACACCCCACTGGAATCCGGGAAAACACAAGTGAACAAATTTGTGAACCCTTGATTTTTGGATACTTGAAACTCAGCATATGTCAGCATGAGTCGGCCAACTTCAATTTTTTACAGAGAAGAATCAGAGCGTTATTGTTCTGGTTTTTCCATGCCTTCATGCACCGACTTCTTTCCGGCCAGGTCCTACAGCCCAAACTGGTGGAGACGAAAGCGAAGGCGCACTTCTTGGGCCCAAGGCTTCCGGATTTCTGCCAAATGATGGCTGGAAAGCAATAAAACTAATAGCGATGGCCTCCAACCTACTGGCGATGGCCTCCAACCTAAGAAAACACGAGTCTTCACCAAGAAGACGCACCTCTAATTTTCATGAACTACCAAACGGTCACCCCAATGGAGCACTCGTGGAGTCCCAAGACAGTTTGCCATGTCATTGTTTCTTGTCGAGTCCATGATGGTCCATTATATATACTTAAATAATCTTAAAAATATTTTCAGAAATGCTGCAGATATTGTTAATTTCTGACTTTCCGCCAAACTATGCCTATATGTTTGTTTCTTATTTAGCTGATATATATTAAGAATTAAGAGTTTCATACATTCAGAAATTGTTAATTTCTGAATGTCCACCATTTTTTCCGACAAGCTTTGAAAGTGTCCTACAGTCTCTTAGGTCATGGATTCAACAGGTTATAGCTGAAGAATTCTGACAGATTGTGCCACCTTCGGCTATGAACATGGTCTGGAGACATTGAATTTGAGAGGGCCAATTTGGGGAGACCAACTGGTGGAAGGCCATGGGCCATGAGCGTTCCACTGTTCCATCCACCGGACATCCCGTCCCGTCTTCCAAGAAACGAAACAGTCCAAATCACTCAACATCACCAAATCTCCATAGCCTGGAGTCATCGTATGGAAATGGAAAACCACCTGTTCGTAGATGCGAGTTCAGGGTTGCTTTGATCTTTTCTCCCGCGAAGGGCGGGCTCGGGAAGTACCATCATCTTGTTCACCTTGACTTTGGTTGAACAAGATTTGTCCTTTGCAACCTTCTGGTTACATGTAAGTTCTTGGAAACGCAGCACGCAAAACATATGTTTCATTACATTGCTACATCACCCATTGGGCAATGAACATCAAACTTGAACCCTCCCCTTTTTGGGCGCCAACGAGGCGTGACTGCGTACTTGTGGTCCATGTGCGACTGCTAACAGTGGCACCGGAACTTAGAGAGTATCCATGAAACCAAGCAACCCATACGGTCGACCCAGTCCTTATCAAGCATCGGTGCGAAGGGTGCTGTCAGACGAACCCAATCCAAAACATGAAACTGGAAGGGCACGAAAGAACAAGAACCAATGATGTCTTGCAAGAACTTGGAGATGATACCAAAGTCAATTCAACAATGTTCATCTCTAGACCAACCCTATCCAGCCGATCATCACCTCGAAAGGTACCAAAAGAACAATCCCAACCAATGAAGGCCTGCAAGACCTCAACGGGTTATATACAACAAAACCGAAAGACACATGTTTTGAGGCCCTTTTCCCGACCAGCACATGCCACATGGTTCCTGAAACTTCAGTATAGATAACCTTCTCGTGCGTTATGTTCTTTTCCCATCATGGTCGTTTGGACTGGTCTCGTCTAGATCGATGGACCAGAACACTGATGTGACTCTGAGGTGTTGTGGGTCGCTAAACCGCAGGTTTGGTGGTTTCTTGGGTCGTTTGATTTGTGTGCATGAGTTACAATGAATGTTTGCTTCATGTTTTTTTTTTTGGCATAGATATGCGCTTTAGCAGATGGGTTCACAATCAATCACTGCATGACAAAGAGCATGATATGCCCATGTTGATGCTGGTTGATCTGATGCAGAGGTATGGACCAAGTATTTGCACTGATGCATTGTTGATTTTCGTTTTGTGCCATGATGACGAGATGTGTGGTGCTTTCGTAACCGTGGTAACCGTGGTAATTGAGCAACATACTTCAAGTTCTCAAACATATAGGTGCCCAGGGGGGTATATAGTTATAATATTAGTATGTATGCACCACCAAGAATATCTTGGTCCGTTGGTCAGGCTGAGTGCCCGGCCGGGCGTGTTGCCGATTGGACCTTGGAGCAGGCGGGATTTGGGAAGGGTATGGCACTTGGAAGAGACCACCATCTGAAGATTGACCCTTTGGAGACGATTTTCCTACAACCTCAGTGGTGTTCATGTTCCATGCTCATTAACTAGGTTCCCTAGGGCTCCTGTCCCACATCCTCAGGCGGTCGGGGTAGGTGCCAGGGGGGGTTGTCCCTGCCTTCTCAGGTTCTATGTTAATTTTCCAGGGCATAGTTTCAATTTGGAGTCTGACACATCTACATGTCGGTGTTTGAACGGTGGTTTCGGGTGTGTCAGCGTAGACAGCCGTCACTCAGGGGGTGCGGTAGACGGATGTGTTGGTGACGCACGGACTTGTAGATCTAGTTCGTTCCCCATCCGCCAGGATTGGGGTTATTATAGCGGTGTAGCTAGGTTTTAGGAAGACAATCCTGCCACGTCCTTTGCTGCAGCGCATCACCCAGTGAAATGACAAACGCAAGAACAGACAACCATCCATGGCATTGACAGTGCACAATGACCCTGCCAGCACGTCTCTCGCCAGAGGTGTCCCCACCAAGCATCACATTTAACAACACGCGATTACAAAGGCGACAAGAGACAACAAACAATGAGACAGATACTGACACCGCCAAACATCACCACAACGGAGATAACCCACCCGATCATGACGCCAACAAACAATGACAGACAACCAGCAATCTGCCTATGTTTGGCAAGCAAAAACTGATTGAGATAAATTTGTCTATTTGCAAAGCGACTGGTTTCGGCATTCCGGACAAAGATTCATTAGTACGCAGGAAAACTTGGCTTTTATAACATTTTACAACTTGTTTCTAATTCCGATGGCCTCCAACCTAGTAGCGATGGCCTCCATACGCATGGATGCATGATTCTTGAATTTTGCTCCTCCGGTTCAGGTTTGACTTTGATGTTGCTCCGCACTAGTAGGAAGGATGTGAGTGTGCGTTAAACAAGTTATTACAGTACATATATATATATATTATATTGTTTTGTTCAGGGAGTCGTTCGCTTTTAACCAAGGTACCCCAAGGAGCTGGACAACTTGTAGGAACTCTTGGACTTGTGGACGTTGAACAGCTGCGACGAGGGCGGAAACCGGAGGGAGTTTGCAAGACATCGCTGGCCCAGGGTTGTGGCCTGAAAGAGCCAACGGAGTTGTTTGATCACTTATCCTGTTCTTTTTTGACCCCACTCAGGGATGCGTGTGCGCTCTTATATGCGTGTAATTACTCTCATAGAAAAGTCCTCCGGCCGCGGCGCGGCGCAGGTGGGCCAATACCTGGACTTTTTAGGGCTCAGCTGCTCGTTTGCAGTGGATTTTCATTTAGGTCCTTCAGGTTTCCGGACTGGAATACATCTCACAAGTCACATTCTGCCTGGGGATGGCCCCAACAAGGTTTAGTCAGACACATAGATTCTATTGTCAGATGACTCCTTTGCCAGGGGATTTGTTGCTCTGATTCGCAAGCCCGGTTTCTTTTTTTGAGGGTCACTATATACGTGAAAACTCTGAGCAATACATGCCCAAGTTGAGTTCTTTAGACTTTAGACTTTAGACCAGGCACACAGGACCTATCACCTTGGCTCATGCTAGAGTCATTCCGGCCAAATTTGAGGTTGGCAAACTACCACACCAACGGTAAACCTTGCTTTCTAAAGCAAAGTGTTCACTGCAAGTGTTCAGAAACCGGCCTACTCCTTTTGATCTCGTTTGCGCGCTGGCCTTCTGCATGGCCTCCCTTGACTTGACGCCTCAAAAGGGTCTTCACCCATGATGAATCCTTCATGCCGGGCATGCGGACTGCTTCCAGACGGGGGCAACGGCGGCCCGGTTGCCGGGTAGAGAGTCGATTGACAGGACTGAGGAAGACGGAGGAGGGGCAACTCCTTTGTGCTATGGCGCTGCTTTATGTTTGTTGGACTTGCTTGACACTTGGATAGATGGATAGGATAGGATAGGATAGGGTGGGGCGGGGTGGGGTAGGATATATATATATATAGTTTATAGTTATTATAATAGATAGAATAGAGCATAATGAAATTATAACACAACAAAAACAACAAGACAGACACATTTGAAATTTGGTGGAGCATAATGTTGGCTTGTCGGGTTTCACTGCCAGGCCTCACCTGGTGTCTCAGATACGTTGCCAGGGAGGTTTCCCAGTCACCCACCCCGTTTTCAGTGCTTTGAAGGGCACCAGATCGATAGAACCCTCTAGTCCCTGGAGCCCAACCCTGACTCAGAATTGGGTGTTCGGTGTGTAAAGGACAAGTACATATCACTGGACGGTGCTTGGGTCATCCCCACATGAAACCGCCGCCCACTGACGGTGCGGTTGGTGCGGACCGTCGCTCCATTGGACCCGCGAAAAACACGTTGCCGCTTGAGGTCACATCCAGGAGAAGTTCAAGGCGGGATGAGAAGGGGCGGAGGACGCAGTGACCATTCCCGGGAGGAACAAGGATCGACGACGCGTGATGATGACCCCCTGGTTGGTCCTGGGAATTGTTCTTGCCGCGTTGATGTCCATTTCAATGTCGAGCCGGTTTTTGCTGTTGTACATGGTGCTCCAGCTCAGTCAAAAAATATTCCAAAACTTTGTTTCAAGATGTTTCTCCCCCAAGGGCACTGCCGTGATGAGACTGGCCACCCTCAACGTGTCCTGTTTCCGACCCTGCCCTCCGTCCCACACACTCCATCACTATACATTGGGGTGGTTTTGTACATTTGAATGCAACCCGCCCATGATCTCAAAGAACCTGAGAAGGAAAACCCGTGGTTTCGGCCATGTTCCTCTACAAAAAGTCGTTTTGGGGTTCCATGTGGTCCTCTGCAGGGGAGTAGGTCAATGGTGTCAATGTGCCGGTCCCAGGCAGGTCGTGTTTGGGTGTGTTTGATTTCATCCGCAGGTCCCAATGTAGTCTCCACCGGGTCCCAACGTTCAACAAATCATCCTTGTTTGAGTCTCGGCTTCAGGATTTTGCATTAGGGCTCTCTCAATAAGGTAGAACATGGGGTTGTGTTTTGTTTTGTTAACATATGTTGACATGTTCACAAAACAAACATGTTTGAATCTTGGTGCTTTTGTTCGCCTCATTCTAGGCTTGTATTTGACCAAAGCCTCATATCCCTTCTACTTACGCCATGGCTCCTGTTACGCCCCTGATACGCTCAACAAAACACGCTGCCAGGAGAATGCCGTCGACGGGCCAATGCTCTTAGAGCTGTCCGAGGTGCGCTTTTCGCTTTTTGCGCGAACAGTGATGAAAAGCGCTAGCCTGCGGTGCAATCTTATATAGACCCTGGGCCACTTTTTTTGGGTTTATATGTGCGGGCCTTCAGCCACCGGAGGACCAGGAGCTTAGCTGGGGCAAATAGGACATGCACGAGGACAATTTGGGTGCTTGTTTGTTGTGGTGTGTCCGATTTCGAGTGCCCAGATGTGCCAAAGGGTTACTCATGTCCTGACCATTAACTGACCCGAAAGGCTCAAAGTAGATGACACTTGTTCTTTGTGGGGCTCAACCAGAACCACCTACACCAAAAATAGCATATTATACAACATCCCAGAGAATTTGTCCTTTACATTTGGGTGGTTGGTGGTCAATGTAGGTCTTATTATATTATTTACTTGCATAATATATATATATATATACATCACGAAAGCTAGCCTTAGCTAGCTGGAGTTGCTCTTGCTTTAGCAAGTTAAGTGACGGGGTGGACGCACCTCAGAAACCTCAAATAATTGATTAAATCAATCTTTTGGACCCCCCCCCCCCCCCCCCCGGTTCGACTCCCCCCTGCGCGCGGTGAGCGGGACCACCAAGCAGCTGCAGCACACCAAGCATCTGCAGCGCCCAGCGCAGCAGCGGCAGCAGCAGCAGCAGCAGACCACCCAGCGGCGGCAGCAGCAGCAGCAGCATACCCAACGCCGCGGCAGCAGCAGCCGCAGCAGACCACCCAGCGCAAGCAGCAGCAGCAGCAGCAGACGACCCGGCGCCTGCAGAGCACCCAGCGCAGCAGCGCCCAGCGCAGCAGCGGCAGCAGCAGCACCAGCAGCAGACCACCGGAAGCCCGGCTAGCTTTCGTTCACCCCCTCTGGCCTCAAGTACAGTACATGGATTTGCTTGGGTTATGGTTTGTTGCAAGGCTCTCACACCAACTCAGCAACCACCACCAGCTGTTCGGCTGTGGTTTTTTGCCACTTGAGTCGCGACAGGAGGAACTGTGCAAAGAGCTGGGTCTCTTGAAGCTTCAGGCGGGGCAAAGGCCTTCAGAAGGCGTTAGAGTCGGCATCCGAATTCACGTCGTCCACCAGGTTGAGTGGTGGTTTCAAACCATATGTTGTTTTGTTGTTCAACCTTTACTTGGGATGATTGAGCCTACTGACTAATATTTTTCTAGTGAGTTGAAACCACCAACCAGATTCGATGATGCGCGATTCTTGCTTGTTGCATCGCACCGGATTTGTATTGTTTTAATGATTCGATGGACTCAGCATAGCGAGTCACATCTGCCCCTGCGTGATTTGTGTTGTAAATGTATACCCTCCGAACACATCACATTCGAAGTGGAACATGAGCTCTAAGGGGTGACGATGTTACCAACAGGGTGGGCCATTCACTTCCATATGATGTGTTCGTCTTCGTGTTGATCAGCCACATGGAGGCCACATGTCTTCCCCCCTAGCCTTCCGTTCGCGGTATAACACTTGGTTCACCTGGTCTTTACTCTAAAGGTCTGTAATGAAACCACCCTGGCAGAGTCCTAAGGAGGCCTCCATGGTGCCACGGTCGGAAGTCCAAGTCCATCGCCGCGGGGGCTCCGGACCCAAAACACCCAGCGGGGCCCGGAGTCGGGGTCCGGACCCGTGTTGGAGCGCAGCCAAACGGACACATCTGGGGCTTACCATAGACCGAACAACCCCGACACATCCTTGGCTCGAAAGTAAAACAGCACTCGCTTTGGACGGACGGATGGACTGCCCGGCTCCAGCTGGCTCCCAGGCTCGAAAGCTCCTGTCCCGGCTGCCGTGACTGGGATCTGGTTTGGAGGGGTGATGGTGGGGTGATGGCGGCGACGTGACGCGGCGATCTTGATGGAATCAACTAACCCAGACACTCCATGTATGCCATTTATGCCGATCAGTTGGTGTAGTTTTGGGGGTCAATGTAGGCATATATGGCAGTCCTATGGAGTGTTTGGGTAAGACTTGCATGCAAGTCTCGCAGATCTTCAAAGAATGATGTGCTGGAGTCTTGGGATTCTTTGGGATCGGCCATTGCCAGTGGATTGAGTGTATACTGACTTCTAGGACTTCCTTGAAATCATGAAGGCTTCCAAAGAAAAGCAAACTAGCAGTAGGAGGAGCCCCTGTATACAGTATATTATTACTGACAAGAGTTTGCCTATAATCCACCCAACCGGTTGGGCTGCATTAAATGCCAAGTTTCTACAGATCAACATGTTGATCATTCTGAGAAACTCACCTAATCTCACACATCCTTCCAATTTGTTCCAACATGTGTTCTTTTCTTTTCCAGACGCGACCCTGGGCCCTCATATGGTCGGACCCGAATCCTCGGGTCAGGGGTCTGGGGTCGAACCAATCCCTAGGTCTTGAGGGACCAGTCGGGCGTCGTTCACGGAGCGTTGGTTTTCGTTTTTGGTGCGACATCTGCATACGACTTCGTGACTTCGTAACTGGTCGTCCGGACATGCTGGATGTCACCATGTGACGTCTCCGAAAAGAGCGACTCTCTTGTGCATCCGGGATGGATAGACCCCCGCAGCAAGGGCAGCTGGATCGGACTGTGGGATACTGTGGGGAGAAGGCGAGTAGGCAGAAACTCCGAAAACATGTTGAGGAGGCCGGTGTTTCTCAGATTTGTTTCTGGTGTTTCCAATATTGGAACATGGTATTTTCTGCCTTTTTCTAGACTGGTGAAACTTCGCCACTCCCATGAACCTTTCTAGACTGAATCATCCAATGTTGTGGCCTCACCTGGGCTCTCATGACATCCTTAACAGGGGACAGGACCCCAGACCCACCCAAATCTGCTCGTTTCTGCTCATCAGCCACATGGTGTCCTACGCTCCTGTAGGCGGGACGAGCCAGATGGATGATGCCCCATGACAACGAAGAAGAAAAGAACGCGACGAACCGCGGCTTTTGCACTGAAGTCAGATGTTTCGGTGAGTGGAGGGCCTTTGTGTTTTGGTTTTCTCTATGACATGGTCCCAGGAACCAGCGCTCCTACTTGGAAGCGATGAGTGGTTCAGTTTGGGGCAGACTTGACATCGATTTCCACAGAATCAGACACGACCGGTGGGACTCAACAGTAGTAGTTGATTTCAGGGGTTCATGTAGGTCAACATCCCTGGTCCCATGGAGCGGAATGTTGACCTCAACACGGTTCAGCGGTTCTTGTCTTCACTGGCCACTCTGCCGCTTGGCTTACCACTCCGACAACAGCACGGCCCCAAGGGACATGGCCTGATGCCAGTCGGATGGTTTGATAGATCATATAGGCCATAGATCAGAGGTTTTGCAAAGGGATGAATCATGATACCCAGACACTTGATGGGACTGCCATATATGCCGATCAGGCCAGGGGTGGTTTGGGGGGGTCAATGTAGGCATATATGGCATACATGGAGTGTCTGGGACAGATCACATGTTCTTTCTTTTCACCAGCACCTTGCAAGGGGTGCCCAATGGACTACCTTACACTACTTATGAATCTCCATTTGACACCCCCTCGGATGGTCCAGATATGTGTTGTTCTTTCTCAAAACATACAAGTTCGTGAACAGCTGGAAGATTTATAATACATTTATGGGATGTTGTTTTAAGGGTTTCAGTCCTACCTACTCAGGTATGACACGTTTTAAAGCTGCTGGAGCCCACCAGCCGTTTGACTAGGGCATTTTCACCATCAACAGCTTCCCTTCTCCTAGCGCTCGTCAACCAGAACCGATCCGGATGGCCGGCCGGTGGACGCCAGTGGATGCCGTGGCCGTCGGGGGGGCAGGAGCAGTTCGAAAAGATGCAAACCTTCTCGGCCACCCGACGTCTCCTGATGGAGCTTCGTCAGGCACATCACCGGATTTTTTTAGGGCAGGGCCGACACGTACGGGCACATGCACTTGATTCAAGGGCCTTTTGTTCCGAAGAGGCCCGTACGTTTGATGCATAAAGGTGTTTTAAATATAAACATGTTTAAACCAGGTATGACCTTTAATGGTCGAACGGAAGGCCAGGCCGTCGAGTTGAAGCCGGTCCAGGTGCAAAGACCTAACACCGGACTTGTGCGTCCTGTGACACAGAAAACTGCCTGTAAGACGACGCAAAGAAGACCCTGACCACACAAAATGATTTTGCAAATTTCAATCAGACCACGTCAAGTTTTTTGTTGTTTTCCAGAAAGCTGTTCAAGTCAGAGGTGGGTGCATCCCAAACGCTCGCATTGGGAGGGAGCGAGCTGGTTTTGCTTGGTTTGACTGGACAGGTAGGGTTGGTTTCAGCATGAACGACAAACACAGAGTTGATACTTTGGAGCCTGAGAGCCCGAGAGCTGGAGGTCCAGGTCCGGGAAGTGAGAGTTTTAGGGATTGGTTGCCCCACTAAGTGGTAGAACAGATGGAGAAAGGTCAATATCATTCAATATCTGTTTTGTTTGTTTTCAGGAGTGATCTGAAGGCAGCTCCAGGGCTGATCTTCGCATGCTTGGCGGTTCCAATTAAGAAACGATGTCCAATACCAGCACCACGAAAAGGGTGGTTTGTAGACACCTTTGACTTTGACTATGGATTTTGCTACCAATAACCACCTGAAATGGGTGGTGCGGCTACAACCGGTTTGAAATGGACAGCACTTTTCGATTCAGTTGCGGGTCACTATAAATCCATTTGAGGCTTACTTTGGTCAACAAAGACGCCCTGGGGCTGCGAACGACAGAAGGGTTGGCCAGATACTAGTGACTTCTTTTTTCCGCATGATGATCAAGTTATCACTGCTGAGTTTGGAGGGATTGGATCCTTGAACTCATCCTATAAGACTCCTCCAACTCGCCGCAGCGCCGTTGGCCCCGTCGGCAGGCGCTGGATGAGGCGCCGCTGTGGAGCAGTGGTGCAGTGTGGACACTCTGAAAAGTACGTCTCGAGGATTTCCACCCTAGTAGCTTCTTGCTCCTAGGAGTAATGGCGTCCACCTAAGAGCGATGGCCTCCACCCACTTCGCAACGGCCTCCACCCTGGTAGCTTCTTGCTACTTTACCAATAATTTATCGGATTGCTGCTTGAAACCTGGACCCTGAAGAATGGACCTTCCATGTCCCTGGTATATGGAGTCTTTGACTCCAGGTGGGGATCTCTCATCCTTGACACCCATGTTTAAGACGGGGTGACCGGTTTAAGCGATGCTTGGCAAACACCGAGTGTCCCGGTGCATCCATCCGATCCCCTTGTGAACTGGTGTCTCAACACCACCTTCACGTTGTCAGATCGAGGTCGAAGATCACTGCGAAGGTCGGACTTGGTGATGTTCCCTGGCATCTTCCCCAATGAGAAGAGAGTGGTCTGAACAAATATCACGGAGCTTTCTGTTCCATACTGTGTGACTGTAGACATGTTGACTCTTAAATTATATTTAAACCATCCAGGTAATGTAGCATGTTGATTAATAACCCCTTCAGTTTAATTGTAAACATGTTTTTCCCCACCTGCCAGGTGAGGGTTGTTAGATTTTATGTTAGCTGACTTCTCCTTCTCCTCCTCCTTCTTCTTCTCCTCCTCGCCGGACCTCAACCACGACCATCCACGCCCAGTGTTCCCTGCCGGACCTCAACCACGACCATCCACGCCCAGTGTTCCCTGCCGGACCTCAACCACGACCATCCACGGCCAGTGTTCTCTGCCGGACCGCAACCACGACCATCCACGCCCAGTGTTCCCTGACCTTGATGTGCCGTTATTTTGTTTGCAAGCTGCTGACCAAAGGCATTCCAGAAAAAATAAAGCCATAGACAAGCAGTTGACACATCACCTGCTCACTGTTCCAAATCCGCATCGCACTGGCAAATTGCAAGGCATGCTATTGGTGCACGAGAACATGGTTGTGCGACTGGCGGATGTCTTGGCTCCACACCTTGGATTGGTTAAATTGACAAACTGGCAGCGGTAGTGAAAGTGGATTTGCACCATGAAGATCAGAAGCGCCTTGACCGTCGGGAAGCTGGATTCTGTCATTTTTTCCGGAATACATGGCCAGAGGTATTTGGGTGAAATTACTTAAAGGAAAGAATTCGCCCATGTTGCAGACGTGGGAAGAAAAGTTTCAGAATGTGGGCGAACACACAACTGACGCAAAGACATTGTTCTTTGTGGAATTGATGCATGCAGAGTTCAAAATTGATTTGAAGCTAGGCGAGGAAACCGAGAAAATTGAAGTGATTCGCTGGCAATTTCCTCTTTTGCATGGCATGCTGCGCACTGCTTACAGTGCGCAAGGCTTGACTTTGGACGGAGGCGTGCTGGTTGATTTGCGTCGTGCTGGTGGCCTAGAGGATGCTGACTGGTGGCTAGCCATCTATGTCATGCTGACACGTGCCCGCAAACTGAAGAATCTCATCTTGCTGGGGTTCACGGAGCAAGTGGAAGAGCTTTTACGCAGAGGCCCTCCTACCTATATACTTGCGAGAACTGACTGACAAGTTGGAAGCCAAAAGTGCTCTGCCAGTGGGACCTACTCGGTTTTGACTGAAGCGGTCTGGTGGAGCAATAGAGAGTTGCAGCTGCACCGATCTGGTGAAGTAAAACTGGCATGGTTGCGCAAACATGTTTGACAGGCGGTGTGCTGACATGTTGGGGCATGTTTAAGCAAATCTGTCGAGAGATCTGGAGATTATTTCGCATGGCCCACTGACATGTTTATAACTTGTTTGACAGACTGACATGCGCAATGACCTGCCAAGTGAAACAAATGATTTGTCTCAGGTGGTCCACTGCCATGTTTGGTCATGTTTAAGCAAACCTGTTGAGAGCTCTGGAGTGTACTTCACATGGCCCACTGACAAGTTTATATACTGTTTGACAGACTGACATGCACAATGACCTGCCAGGTGAAACAAATGATCGGGATAGTTAGTTACGCAAAAGTCGCGTGACAAAAGCTTCAGACAAAAGTGGAGTCAACAAGCTGTTTTGAAATGTCAATGTGGGGATCACTCGATATTTAGACAGAATCATATGGGGAAGGTGATTATATAGTCAAGGTTCTACATTAAAGAGTGTTTATGAAGCAACACATGGTGTATTTATTCATGGTGGACATGATCTACTTCTTATTCATTGCTCTCCTGTCTTCATCCCTACAATCAGTTGAGCACGCTCCTAGACCTCCCACAGGCCCCTTCCCAACCCTGAATACCACCCCAAAACCATGCTTTCAGCCGCCACCGCGCGCCATCGTCGCGCCATCGTCGGCGACCGGTGCCACGCGCATCGCGACCGATTCGCTTGCGCCAATGCGCTGGGCGAACCCGACCAGGAACGCGACGTCGAGGTCTCGGTGATCCAGGCGCGTCGGGTCGCGGCGAGTCAAGTCGCGTCGGGGATGGTCGCGGCCGGGGGGTCGGGTGGATTCGTCGTTGAAGTCCAGAAATATCAGAATAACGTATGTTAAGGTATATATAGAAGGAAGGTGATATACCTAGAAAGCACCTGAACTGGTTGCTGGATGGCGATCGTTCCCCTGGCCCTTGGTTTCGGGTCGGTCGCACATGGCCCCCCCCCCTACGAAGCAAGGAGTGGATGGTTCCAGGTGCACCCATCCATTTCGGGTACGAAGTTCCAGAGCAAAATAGCTATCCCAAACACTCCATGGGACTGCCATATGCCATAGATGCCGCCCCATTGACCCCCAAAACCACCCCAACTGATCGGCATATATGGCAGTCCCATGGAGTGTTTGGGTATCATAGCTCAACACTTTTGCACAAAGAAGTGCCGGAACAGTTTTGCCCCCGCAAGAGTGCTCGAACGACGCCACGCCTGGCCGCCAGGCCTGTATGTTGAGCGGCGCCGATCCCAATGCGCGTGAGAAGGAGGAGCGAGCGAACAAAAAG